TAATTTCACTGTTGTATTTGAGGGACAGATTTGTGGGTATGATTCATGGTTGGCATTTCTTTTTTTCTTTCTTTCAGAGTCTTGCATATATCATCTCATTGCCTTCTTACTTGCATGCTTTTTCACTAAGAAATTAGAGCTTAGTCTTATTGGTTCTCTGTTGTAGGTAACTTTTCACCTTTTCGAGTCACTCTCAGGATTCTTTACTTGTCTTTGGTTTTGGAAAGTTTGGCTATGATATGTCTTGGTGATTTTATTTTGGGATCTATCCTTTTGGGGTTTGTTCAATTTCTTCTATGCTTATCTTTTTTCATGGTGTTTGGGAAGTTTTCTTCCAACAACTCTTCTACAATTTTCTTTGTTCTTTTTATTGTCTCTTCTTGTTCTAGACTTCTGATCACCTGTAATTTACTGCTCTTTGTGGTATCCCACATAACTTTTAGAATTTCTTTGGATTTTTTTCTTCCTTTTTATAATTGTTCTTCTAGCAAACTAGTATTGAGAGATTTATCTTCAAGATCACTAGTTTGGGCTTGCATTGCTTCCAATCTAGTCCATTGCCCTTTCTATGTATTGCTCATTTCTGAAATTTTAATATTAATCTCCTGGATTTCTTATGGCAGGTTTTGTATTGTTTAAAAATTTGCACTTATTTTGTCTGTTAGTTCTTTTAGTATTTTCCTGAATTCTTCTAAAGTTGCTTCTGTGTCTTCCTTGCTTTCCTCAATCTCTGTTCATCCTTTGAATGTACATAAATATCATTTTTTGGAATTCTTTTTGAGGTAGTTACATTACCTTTTTTTTCCTCAGAAATATTTTCTGGCTCTGTAGTTTGGTCATTTGTTTGAGTTTCTTCATGTAAGCTGAAATTTCCTATTGTGTTCAGGACATTGTGTTGTTGTGGTGTTTGTATTTAATTAATGCTTATATGCTGATATAGAGAGTCCTGGTAGCTTAGTGGGTTACAAGCTGGATTGGAGCCACAGGGTCAGTAATTCAAATCTACCAGGCACTCTGCAGGAGAAAGATGAGGCCTTCTGCTCCTGTTAAGATTTACAGCTTTAGAAACTCTACACAGGGTTGCTGTGAGTCTGGACCAACTGCACAGCATACTACCACCACTGACACCATGTTGATGTACTCTTACGCTCCCACAAACTGACTCCTGTGTATATAGTTAGAGAATAAAAGTATGTGCCTCATTCTTTGTTCACCATCTGTGCATGTCATTTTAGTGTGGGTTTGGCTGGTGTTGGCTACTGTCTAACATTGTTCAGGTGGTATAAGAGCTGGCAATGGCTCTTGTCCAGTGGGTGGAGTTGCCGAGGGCATTACTGTGGCTGGGCTGTATGGGCACTGCTTTTATCTGCTGTCAGGTGGGAAAGAGGAGAACCATCCCACCCCAACACACACACACACACAAGAAAACAAAGCAGAATAAGCAATCAACAAATAAAAGAGAAAATAATAAATTAACACAGGCAGCAATCAGATAAAAAAGAATTCAATAACAAAAAATAGAAAATAGGGACAGGAAATTGGAGCTAGAGAAGAGAAAAATAAAAAGAAGAAGAAAAAAAAACACTTAGAAAAACAAGGGAAAGGGAAGATGAAAAGAGAGTAAAGAGTAGTGAAGAAAGATTAAAAACGGGGAAAAGAGGGGAAATGAGAAACAGAAGAAAAAAAGGAAAAACAAAATCAGAGTTGGAAAAGATTAAATTCAAGGGAATGTAAAGAAAAAATAAATAAACAAAAATAACAAAATGGCAAAGGGAAGCAAAAAACAGAAACAAACAAACAAACAAACAAAAAACAGTGCAGCAGCTGGACCCAGAGAGGAGAAAACTCTAGAGGGCTCCTGCAAGCCGAGAAGCTTACAGGGTGGGTGGAGGAGGAATGTAACAGCACAATTCCTGGCCCTGGACAGAGTTCCTAGAGGCCTTCATGTTATCTATGTTCAGGGCACTCAACCAGGAAGTAGTTGGTGGAGGCCTTGCCATTGCTGGTTTCAGTGTCCATTAGGACCACAGGGCACCTGAGGGTAGGGTGGCTGGTTATGAGGGTTTCTTCTGCACTAAAGCTGGTCTGGTGACTTGGTGGGTTCTGTAGGTCTGGAGCCAAGCCTTCCTGAATCCAGGCATCAAAGCAGTGCAGCCAGTCCCCACCTCCCAATGCATGGCTCACAACCATGTGATTCCAAACTCCCAGAGAGCAGAGTCTGTGCTAGGGTGGATGAGGGTGGCAGCTGGCTACACTCCTGGTCGACTGGGGAACATGGAGAAAAATAAGGAATCACATCTTTCTGGTAACCTGTATAAATCTGCTCCTTCAGGCCACATTCTGTTGCCAAAGTGTCTCACAAAAATTCAAGATGGTCAAGCTGTGTTTGGCTGGCCATTGGTCAGTTAGTCTCCTTCAGCCTCTTCTACCAGCAAGCACTCAATCCACTCCAATAGTCCTTTCTCTGAAGTTCAGAGTTCAAGGATTTTCATCCCTGTCTGTTTCATTTGGTCTCTTTGTTGTGGAGGGTCCATGCAGTGCATCTGCCTCTACCATCTTGGTGGAAGACCTCTGAATGGGATCTTTATAAGTACTGTTTTTCTCTATGAGTTTAATGTTTATTTTTAGAATTTTAAGATTCTTTTCTTGCTTTTAGTTTTGTTCTCTATAGTTTCAAACATATTTAACCAGTATTTCTATGTGTTTGGGGATGAATGGGAGTATACCTTACTGTTTATGTTCAAACAGCCTATCTGATTGTTGTTGTTGTTGTTAAGTACTGTTGAATCAATTCCTATTACAGCACAAGTGTATAGGGTTTCCAAGTTGCAGCTGGTATAGGGTTTCCAAGTTGCAGTTGCTGACCTTGTGGCTTGCAGTCCAGTGCCTATCCTACAGTGCTACAGCAGCCCCACCCAAAATAACCCCACTCACTCCCAAACAACTAGAAGTACTGGTTAAATATATTTAGGCGCCTACTTAAGTTTTTGGTGTGGCACTGTAGGATAAGCAATGGGCTGCTGATCACAGGTTGGCAATTTGAACCCACCAGCCACTCCTCA